GACATGTATATGTATTTCTTATCTGTTTTTGGGTGAAATTTAAACAGAAGAAGAAATATCTAACTTAACTAACTACCGCCTAGATAGACAAAATACGAAAGAAAATTTAATGCAGGAAAACAAAAGATTTCACAAAGATTTCTTGTTTACAAAATTACGTTTTGTTATATTTTGGTATATTATTTTCATAGGCTCTGTTTGAATGATTATGTTGTGTTAGATATTTCTGACAATAAAAGTTGTTATAAACCATATTGGTGTTTATAGCCATTGTTTTTTAACCACCAACTTTTATGTCTTGAGTGGGGACGGTTGTGTCACTCGCCCTTCTCTTGTATGATTTGATTTTATGACATCATATTTAAGAACAGTATTTCAATATTTCTTCGTAGACAAATGATCAAATTACAATTTGATTTACTTTTTTCTCAGGTAACTGATAAATTAACAAAATTATTGTTAATCAAAAAAACGTGGCACAACTACACCCAGTCTCTCCTACTATATTTTTATTATCATTACACATGCATAAACAGTGGTTTTTAATCATACATTTTCTACGGCAAAACTTCTGAAGTGGATTTTAAATTGAAATTTATAACTTTTTAAACTCATATTTATGTTTCTATAATGTTTGTAAATTAAGTAATCGAAAACACATATTTTCATACGAGTTAACATATTGTTTGGCAAGCAACCAAGTACTTTTGATATTTCATCGAGTAATATTCAATGCTGAAGCCAGAAGTTACAGGTGCCATAAAAATATTCGAAAGTATTTGATATAAAGAGCTTGCATTTTTGCATTTTTGTATATATATATATATATATATATATATATATACATTAGGGTGGTCCTTAATATGGACATTTTCGAATTTCCTTGCTGTAATTGAATCTTGAGAAATAAAAAATATTTTATATTAATTGTATATGTTAAGTGTTCTTTTTTACGCCATTTTCTCTAATAAAACTGTCTCGGCAACGAAAATAAATTGTTATAAAAAATATCTTGTTTGAAAAGATAAAATTATTTAAAAAAAAATATTTGTTTCTAATTTTGATGAATAAGTATGAAAGTTGAGCTCACTTGCCTTCGAACATACTTATTCATTCATTCTAAATTAATTCCACAACAAGGTTTTACACCTAACATAATCATTTAAGACCCCTTTTATACCTTCCGGATTCTAATCGCTCGACCAGTGAAAGCTGTTTATTGTTTATTGTGACGCGAACCATTGAACAATACGATAATTTACACCAAAGTGACAGTCGATTGAACAATTTCTGGATTTTGTGCAACACAATATCATTGGACAAGGCTCGCAAAACTTTTATATTAGACTTATATAAAAATGAGTGATAAAAAGTTAGTCTTTGAATGCCGGCGTATAAAAAGTGAATGGTCGAGAAAAATGTATTTGTAAAATATAATTATCAGTATTATTACCAAATTAATTAAGAACTTTTGACAGAATATCTTAAGTAATTATTTCTTACCTTATATATATTGCTTTCGGGTCATTTTTCACATGAGAATAGTTGTTTACGTTAATTTTTCCTGATAATTGTTAACATACCATGCAGTTTAAGGGGGGCGATACATGTAATCGCCTTAATTTTTACCATTTTTTGAGGACTTTTTAAACTGGGAAGGAATGATTGAATCTTTTTGAACTTTTTTAGGGTTATTTATTATATATTAAAATACACAAAAAATTTTTTTTTTATTTATTTATTTTTTTTAAATGGCTGCCGTAAAAATAAATCTGCCAAGACCCTCTCGGAAAACGCCATCAATTTGCGGGCATTCTCACTTTTCGTACGGTGATCTGAATTTAAAAAAATTAGTTTGTACGTGTTCATAAAACATATATCTTCTAGTTAAACCAAAAAAAAATTAAAAAAGTCACAAAATCGTAAATTGGGACACCTTAGAAAAAAAAAGTTCGATTTTTCACCTTTTTTTCAATGGTTTTTTTGATAAAAGGGTTAATTTTTGAAATTTTTTTTGGAATGTTTGAGGTTTAACTAGAAGCTATTACTGTAAAGTAGATGTGTGCAAAATTTCATTGGAATCGGTTGAGAACTTTTTGAGTTATCGCGCCCGCAAATTTCAAAAATGTCGTTTTGAGAAAAACGCGTTTAAAGTTTTGACACAGAAACAGATAAGAGTACAATAGCACTCAAGCGTCGAGTTGAGGCGTGGCACTTAAATTAGTTTTTATTGTATAAATAATGATAATTTTGTTTTGAATATTTACAGGCATATTTTTGAGATGTTATTGTAACGATTTATGAAAAAAAAAAATCGATTTTTTTTTTCTTGTTACATGTATCGCCCCCCTTAATGAGAGCAACAGGATTGAAATATGTATATCAAGATTTTCAGATTAACAACTTTCAGTTACCGTTCAGTTATTATAGTTAAAACACGTATTGTTTATTTTTTGTTTGTTGTTTTAAATCAGTCAATATATTTGATTTTTGAGAAGTTTCAAATCATTCTCATATAGGGTAGCTAAGGGCTTGTTGTAACAGTTTTTATTAATTGTATACATCTTGAGATCCACTGATTATATTTTTACGAAATAAAGATCGATAGTTGCTCCAACTATTCCTTTACCCAATCATGTAAAAATTATTGCACAACTATTGTTTATTATTTTCCAATTAATCAAATTTTAGAAAAAGTGCGGTGTTATCCCGTGTTTGGGGCTAGTTGTAACATATACCGGAGCAACGACAAAAAATTACAATAATGCCTCTGATAATTTATTCTTTACTCATTTAAAAAAAAGTTACTTGCTTCTAAGTACTTCTTTTCATACATAAAGCCAAACTATATTCAATAAAATTTAAATTTAATTTAAATAAAATATATTGTCTTTTGTAATATATTTTTTTATTATAAATCGATTTAATATCATAATGCAAATAAAATATAAGTGTCACCTATAGCCCAATATTATGGTAACCATATTTTTCTAAAATAAGAATAAGTCAAAACCAGGACGGCAATTTTTAGTTATGCTAATCCAGGATCTTTTTCTTATAATAATTGTGGATTTTTAGCAAGAACATTATTATTCGATTTTATGTCATACTTTTTTATCTATGATATATCTTATATGGATCCATATGTTTTTCGCGCTTTTGAGTCTTGTATAATATTCTATTCAATTATAATATATTCATAAATATTTTGAAAAAAATTAGCATTTGTTCGTTTGTTTTCATAATTTTTGTTAATTCATCTGTTAATTTTTTTTAAAAAAAAAACGGGATAATCCAGGACAAAAGATCTAAATCCGGTACAAATCATGCTTTTAAAATAACCCGGAACACAAGGTGGATATCCGGGATTATCCCGGCCAATCCGGGACGTATGGTCACCTTACCAATATACATGTGCCTACATTTCATAAACTATACATTCCATTTAATGTTCTTTACTTGAAACTGTATTTAAATTTTGTATGTTACAACTATCACCAAGGTTTAATTTTAACCAACCCCAGGTGTTATTTTTTACATTAATCAAAATAACTATTAATACTATTTAGTAAATGTTACAATAAAGATTGATAAATTTGAAATTAAATAAGATATATAAAACTTAAATGTAGTCGATAACAATAACGCAAAACAAAATTTTATGATAGTACAATTTTATATTGCATGTCAAAAGCAACGGACCTGCACAGTTCTGTTTATTGCATCGGCATGCTAGACAGTAGCTATGACAATATTATGCAGGATGGTTTACAAGTCCAAATTGTTTTATCCTAAGCGAAAAAAATAATATTGTTTAAGATCCTAATGAAAAACTGTTACCTATTAACAGTTACCCTTGTTTCAGATAGCCCCTACCTCCCCTACTCCGAGGGGACATTGATAGAGACATTCATTGTTAATATTCATTTATTATATATTATCAGCTCTTGATTTTCAACCCGTTTTACTTATTGGTTTAGTAAAGTAGTCTAATTATAATAGCAAACTACAAAAATAAAAAAATCGGTGACTTTAAGGGGGCATTCTAGAGTAGAGCGATGAATTTTAGGTCATTTTTAAAGTGTCGTAAAAAAATGCAATGAATGTTTGTACTATCCATTTTTTACCACTTGTTTATTAATATTATTAAAATACAAAACAAAAATAACAGAAATAAAAAAGTTGAAAATTGGAAAACTGGCAGTTGATAAAGTGGGTGGTCTCAAAAAATTGGCACCACAGTCTTGACATGATTTCAGCCCTCCTAGCCATCAGAAAAGCAAAAAATAAAAAGATTATTATTCAACAATGACGTCGCAATCGCTCGAAGTAGTATCGCGATGAGTAAAAAATTTTTTTTACGAATTGACGACTGTTTGAAAAAAAGTGTTTTTTCACTGTTTTTTTGAGTTTCTCGAATTTTTTAAAAATAGTAAAAATTGGAATTTGGGGATAATCTTAGTTCGGGCTATAGATAGGTCTATAAACAAGACTCTCTGAACATTTAGAGTGAATCAGTCGATTAAAACTCGAGAAATCGTGTCAACAGTACTGAAAAAGTCTGTTCTGAGAAAAATGCATTTGAAGTTTTGCGTAAAGCCAAACCAGTATGGAGACCGAGTCAGTAAAATGCCTTTATCTACGAAAATAATTCAAGTTTTCAAAAACCTTCTCGTACCCATATTCTTAGATAGTTAAACTTTAAAAATATGAAATTAAAAAAAAATCGATTTTTTTGAATTTCTACACTAGAATACACCCTTAAACGTCATTGATTTTTCTGTTAGTGAAATTCCGTTTATGAATTCCTGTGTAAGACACTTTATAAACTATTAATTATAACTGTCCTGTATTTCAATTAAAATTGCATTGTATTTAATTCATTTTCAGATCTCGCTCGTCCGGCTGTCTTTGGCGGCGAGTGTGAGATGTCAGTGTGGCGGCTGCCGAGTCCCGACTTAGCGGCGTGGAGCCGAGCATAATTTCGGGTCCGAGGTTTACTAAAAAAAGTAAACCCAGGAAAAGACGGTGGCCGAGTGTTCAAGCCGCGACACGCGACCGCGTTCTGGCTTTACGGAGAAGGTGAGGACAGTTTAATGACTTACCTGCGTCACAAGCATATTAGGAAATTACATTTATCTTTTGACGTTGTTGATTAAATGTTTCATGCAGAATGATTAAAATTATAACATGTTACCTAATTTATAATATTGAATGATTATGTTTAATATTATTACCCTTTATTATTACTCAGCTTTGCATAAAGATCATTTATTAAAAAAAGACTTATATATTATCTTCCCGTAGGGTAAGTTATTGTAATGGGCCGAAAATCGAAATTGAAAATTTTTACATTTCTCGACGTTTTGAAGGTTTCTGAACATTTTGGCATACCTTAGAAAGAATGAATGTGTGTGTGTGTGTGTATATGTATGTATGGATACAAATTTCCAGTCACGTTTTCGGGCGCACGGATCAACCGATTTGAATGGTTCAAAAAATATTCGATTCCTATTGATAGGGAGAAGAGCTGATTAAGAGAGCTTGCAAAGGCAGGTCCAGCCGATTCAGAGATACGGAGCAAAGAGTACAGAAAATAGAAATCGACTTTTTGAGAGAACGGAGTATCTAATCAGAGATCTAAAAAACATTCAATTAGAAATGATTGGGAAAAGTGTTCATTAGTTTTTGGCAAAGGCAGGTCCAGCCATTTCGAAGATACGGAGATAAATATGTAAAAATTGAAAGTTTTTGAGAGAACTAAGCGTCCGATTTAAATGATTCAAAGAACTTTCTGCTAGTCTTAACAAAATAATTGATTTTGAAAAAAAAATTTTTGTTTCAACTTTTCTTTTTCAAATTTTTTTTTTTTTTTTGTATATCGAAAATAATTCAGATTTTATTTTTAATTTTGACTATAGTTCTAATATACTTTAAACAAATAATTTCAACTTTGCAATTCAGTTTATATCATTTTTATAAATATTAGACAATGTTACAATATTAATAATAATCTATTTGAAAACATGCAGTATTCCTCGAACATTTCGTTACGGTACGGGAAGTTCCAGCAATTTGCCTTAAGGCACGATGCCATACACCTCACTAGTTTTATATTATATTGAAATTGTGGCACAATTGTGGCAATTGTGGTTTCAAAATAAAATGTAAATTAATTTTTCGGGAATAATAGGGAAAGTACGGTCAAATTGGCATGGTGTTTTTTAATGATATTTATTTAATGATATTATAACCAGTCTTAATCATTTTTACTCATCTTTGTTTTTATGACTTTCACTAAGGTAGTATTTTAACGAAGTAAGAACTATAATCGCATATTAATTAAAGAAAAATGCAATTTGTTACAAAAACCACTTTGTCAATATAGTACGGACAAAATGATATATAGGTTAAGGACATAATAAAAGTATTCTTTGGGATATTAGCACATGAAGCATGAACTTAAAGGAAACAAATCATATATTGTAACCTACATTCGCTGGGCTCAGAACAGAAAAAGAGGGTTTTGCAACAAATGCAAGTGTGTTCTTTTTACTAGTGAATCTTTTGATCTGCTTTTAGCAATTATTTCGTTCATACTTGAAATAAAAGTTAAAAGCCAATCATATTTGAAAGGTTTTAATTTTTTTTGGTCCTGAATGCTTGCGAAATAGTACAATATGACTTTGTCAATTTTATAAGTATGTAAATTTGTTCAGAAATTGAACAAAAATGAATAATTAATTAAAGATCCACTAAACACCTGATTTTTGCAATAAAGTTGATTTAATTGAAATATTTACAAAAAGAAATAAATAGGTCCGCAAGATTGCCCATATTTCTATTACTGATGCTCTATGTTATTGAAACGCACGACAATTATTGACATCGAAGAATAATGTAATAAAATATGTTAAACAAAATAAAATGACGAGAGTAAGAAATAGAATAACGAGAATGAAAATATGTAGAATAGAATAGAATATGAAAGAGTGCACAATTTTTCTTATAATTCGTTCGCTTATGAAGGTTATCAGAACTGGTGCGAGGCCAAAAATAAATGAATGGCAATTTAAACGCATGTTTTTTGATTTTGATAATTACAGGCGACGTATACTAATCTTTGCAATGGAGAACGGCCAGACCTATGCCTATTCCTCAAAAATTTTGTGGGAAATTAGCCACTGATGAACGATTGGTTAAATAGAAATGCATTTGAGCAATCATTAAAGACTTAAATTTGCCTAAAAAATGTTCATAACTTTTAATTATGCATCGGATTTTTTATCTGATTTTAACAGCAATCAGAGCCTTACGTCCTCTGTGTAAGCTGTAACTTCTCTTTGCCTCGTATTTTTAGATGGTTACAAAACGATTGTTCCTTCCACATATGATTACTTTATTATTAGAATTAATTTTAAGGGGTTGACTATTATTCACTTGGAAACATGTTAAAGGTCTACATTCCCATGCGAAAACTGATATTGATACTGCTCGATTTCAGAGTTGTTCGTGGCGCGAACCTAGGACGCTCCTGATTGCAAATTGCAAAAAACAAATCATGTAGCTCGTGAGAGAACAATCCCGGCAATTGTTGCCATATTTGAGTGTATAAATTGAGCAATGTTTTCTACTCGCTCACATTATTTTTGAAATACTTTAAATGCTGTCTTTATTACACTTCGGCTGGCATATTTTTAGCCCACGGTCATCTGTCTGCGTTGCGGCTCGCATGCCGCAATACAGTCAACCTATTACAATGCAACGCTAAAGGAAGGACCTTTTCGAAACCGTTTCTATTCTCGTGAGTCCACTTATCAAAGCTTATTATTATATTATAGTGTGATATGTATGTCTATAATGGTCAATATCAGTACTTCTTTAGAATAATACAATTGCAAGAAGCTCGGATTTTGCTTATATTAAATTATAAAAGTATTTCAAATATATGATACAAATCAACATATCAAGCTTTATGTTATAACTATGGGCGAACTTGATATGCTTTCCAGAACCAAACATAGAACGATAAATATATTGGTCGATTCTTGATAATATTTGGTTTTGGATTAAAGAAAAAGACAGAAGAATAGATGGTATATATTAGTTTGTGGTGTACACACACACATATATATATATATATATATATATATATATATATTAATATATATATATATATATATATATATATGATTTAGTAGTTAATTTTGATGTTGAAATATATGAGTGAGTTCTTGAGGGCGATACATCAATCAAACAAAGATTATGTGTGTATATATATATATATATATATATTTACAAAAGTCCAATTTGACTTTGGACAATTATATTGTGAGAACCAAATCAGTTATATCACAACAAGTAACACATATCAAACAACTATCTGACTCATTTCAGTAAATTTCCCAGTTAATGTATCATTGTAAAATGTAGTTTTTCAAAAAAAAAATTTTCAGTCTTTTTTACCCCGAAGGCAGGGTAAAATGGAACGGCCAGGGGGCAAACAGGTTTAATGTCTTATTTTTGTTTTCAAAGGGATTTTACAAAATAATAGCTAAATTATTCAACCAATAAAAAAATATAAATTTTATGGGTACATGTTTTACAGAGATAATGCTATATATTATCTTGATCTGGTAATTCGTCAGCAATGTTTATCAGCAGAGTTCGAATGACTACTGAAAGCTATTTTTAAACTAAAATAACTTTTTATTTAATATTTTTTATTGATTACACCATTGTAAGGGTAAAGGTGCAGTTGGTCTTTTATACCCCATCTACATGTAAGCTTTTACAATGGTTATATAAAATACTGTTGAATCTAATTTAAAATTAACAATACATCTTATAATACAATTAAATAACGCATACTTGAAAATTATATTAAGGTTTCGTAAACTAGAAGTACAATGCTCACAATCAAGAAAAGTAACAACGAAAGAAAATACTTTTGTTATGGATTTTCAAACATTGCCGTTTATTTCTAGATAGCAACGTCGAGAGAATCAAGGTGATGGCTGGTTATACATCTTTTTCCCTTTACTTTCAAATGCGGTTAAGAGCAATGGGATCTGAATCAGAGGTCCCGGGTTCGATACCCACTTCGAGCAGCCTGTTGTCAGGCAGCAGTGACAACGATTTTCACTTGGAAATATAGATAGCAATATGTTTCCAAGTGAAAATAGCCCTTGCCCGGCATTGCTGCACCAATAAAAAGTCAGCCCTATTAGATTAATTCTAATATCATCAAATATGGATGGATTAACCATTGGGTTACCATCTAAAAAAAATACGAAGTAAGGAGAAGTTTCAGCCCAACAGCATATAGGACGTAAGGTTCTGATTGCTGTTAAGAAAAAATAATAAAAAAAAAACAAAAAAAATGAATAAAAAAAATAAAAACTTTCAAATATTATTGTTAAAAAAAATTCTAACTTTACTTAAACTTGAATTTCGACTTTTTTGTTCGCATTGAGACATATTCTTGAAATGTTAATTTGCAGCCTTGCAAATGGTAATTTAAAGTTAACTTTGAAAAGTTTTTAGTTTATTTATTTTATGTTTGCTTTTCAAATAATGTTTTTCTGGTGTGGTATGTATCAATTTTTTACTTGTTTAATTTATTTTAATCTATAATATATTCAAATGTAATCCTTTTAAACTTTGTAAAAAATATTTTAGATACTGTTATTAAATTTAAAAAAATGTGAATGATTTCGACACATACCGTGTTGAAACGTATAAATAAATAGATCATTATTTATTGTTCTTTTAATTCAACGATTCGCTGCAAATTTACATTTCAAGAATATATATAGAACCGAAACGTTTTTGAACTATAACATAATAAAAGAAATATGTGCAAAAAATTGCATATCACTCGAGTATTGCGATCTGCTTTCAGGCAGCACCCTATTATTATTATTATTATGTATATGCATATATATTTATAGTACATATTTCTAAATGTAGGTATGTACAGCATTCGATTATATATTCCTTTATGACGTTTATATTAATCTCAAGGTTATGTTTACGGCATTCATGCGACCTGTAATCGTTGTGAGACATCGTCATAACTC